GTAAAGAGCCCAGGTTCTGCGGAGACTCCCAGGCGCTTGGTCCCCTGAGCAAACTTGAGAACCACGATTTCTGCCCCACCAGCGTGATGTCTGCGTCTCGTTTCAGAGCTGAGGGGAGCAGTAAAATCCAGGCTCGGATGGAGCAGCAGCCCCCTCGGCCCCCACCGCCATCACAGCCACCACCACCTCCACCGCCCATGCCGTTCAGAGCTCCAACCAAGCCTCCAACTGGACCCAAAACATCCCCCCTTGAAGGACAACCCCTCACCGGAACCTCAGCTGGATGACATCAAAAGAGGTAGAGGGTGTTTTCTGGAGCTGTGACAGCAACTTGGAGGACAGCGTTGTCTTTGCGGAGGGGACAAGGCCACTGTCTGGGGTGGCCCTGGTGTTCTCTGCCATTGTAACAGCTTCCGCAGGGCTCCCGTTCACATGTGATGGGCTCGGGGCTCCTACTACTTACCTGACTTGATGGGGCCGTCGGGAATAGTGGCTGGCGCTGTGCTGTCTTTGCAGCTTTGCTGAGAAGCCCGTGCTTTCAGCAAGCCTCTCTGCCATCTCAGGGTCATGCGATGCACCTGATGGCTTTGGAAGAAGAAAATTCCAAGGTGCTGGGGTGAAAACCAAGTGTGCCAATGTTAGTATAGTGTGTAGGTCAGAGGGACATGTCAGCTGCGTGTACTAACACACGATGTGTAAACATGGACGCACCACGAGGGCCAGTGGCCGTGGACCCTGGCCTAGGGAGGCCTGGAGGTCGGGTCAGACTGTCTCCAGTGTAAACCTGAGACACAGCAGCTGACTTTGGCCCTCTCCCCTCTACAGAGGGCGGTGTTGTTGTCCAGACTCTTAAGAAGGTATGAACGCAACTGTGGTGTTTCCTATTTGTGAAGTTTTATGAAGCAAAGCTAAATCCATCACAGTAGTAAGCAGGGAGAGGTCAAAGGTTGCCCTTGGGAAGCTTGCCTCGTCCACCTTGTGGAAGTGCTGTCTTTCAGCAAACGAGATCGCTCTGCGTGGTGCACAGTTGCTAAGCCTCTTGATTTTTTTCCCTCACGGATGTTAAAATGCTTTGTGAGAGTTTTCACTTTGGTCGGACAGGAATTGGACCACGCGGGATTAGTTGTTGCCAGGTACGCTTTGAGGAACCAGAGTCGTATAAGGCCACATGCTGTTTGGACAGGAAAGTCTGCCATCTCTCAATTCTGTCCTATGCCATGTCCTTCATGAACTCACAGACAGTGAGATGGTTCCATAAAACATGTTCCTTCCCTGCTCTGCGATTATCAGAAGTGCAGTGCCTGGAGGGGTGGCTGTCAGTCTAGTGTGTGAAGGGGGTGGAGGAGCCGTGTGGTCCCACAGTCTCTCCTGGGCCCCCGCGGCTCCTCCTGCAGCCGGAAAGGACCCCAAGGGCTGTCTGCTCTGGCCCTTCCTCTCCCTGGAGCTTCTCGAAGATTCACTGGCTAGAGCGGGTTGGAGCAGGCCCTTGGGCCTTCCAGATCCAGGTCACATCATCCTCAGAACAGTGCTCCTCTCTGCTCTTTTCTGGGGTTTAATCCCATAATTCACTATTCTTTTGTTTTTTTAGGAGATGAAAGCTGAAAGAGACTTAATTCATGTCTTAGAAAAGTCATTGTCTCAAACAGTTTGCTTTTTGGTGGTTTCGGGTGAATCGAACGTCTCCCTCGTCTGTGCGGAGACGGGTCAGGCGTTTCTGTTGGTGGGAGCTGGTTCGGGTCACGTCGTCTTGGCTCTGCCGGGCTCCTGTCCCGCGGGCCGGGTGCCAACGCATCCTGTCATCCCCGCAGAGCTGCGGGCCGAGGTGGACATCATCGAGCAGATGAGCAGCAGCAGCGGGAGCAGCTCCTCCGATTCTGAGAGCTCGTCGGGCAGCGATGACGACAGCTCCAGCAGCGGCGGCGAGGACAACGGCCCCGCGTCCCCCCTGCTGCCGCCGCCCCACCAGCCGCCCTACGGTAGCCGGCCAGCCGTGGCCAACGGGACCAGCCGGCCACAGGGAAGCACGCAGCTCATGAGCACCCTCCGTGAGTGCGCCGTCCTTCATCTTGTTGGCAGGTGGGGGGACTCGGGCCGGGCTGAAGGCAGTTAAGGCCCAAGGCGGTGTCCTGACAGACGGTCTGGAGCAGAAAGGAGCAGTCACCAGACAGTAAAGGAGGGACACGCAAAACTAAGCACCCGTGCTCTCTCTCTCCTTTTCCTTATTGGCACAAATCAGGCTCTGTGGATTCTGGAAAGTGCTGAAACATGACCAGCCGGGCTCTTTGTTTTTGCATATACCCAGCTTGAGGGGCGCTGCCTGCCCCCCACTGTCGCCCGTCTCCAGGTCTCTTTACACACGAGAGCCCTGTGTCAGACCGCGGGGCCCACGGCCCACAAAGTTGGGAGCCTGTGCCGTGCGGATGTATTTGGAGGCCTGCTAGGCTTCGGTGGGAGGAGAGGAAGGGACACTGTTGTCCCGTGGCTTTCGGTGCAGTTGGCAGTGAAGCAGAGCGGAGTGGAGGCGGGGAGGTGCGGACTCTGCGCTGTTCTCCCTCCAGGCCCTGTGATGTTCTCTCCCTGGGTGTGGCTTCTGTGGGAAGGTCGGGGGCAGTGGTGGGCAAGTTGGCCTGGTTGACCTGCCTCCTGTGGAGCAAAGATAGTTCTCAGCATCGACACCGTGGACATGTGAATGTGGTAGTGGGGGCCTGGCCCATGCACCGTGGGATGGTGAAGAGCATCCCTGGCGTCTCCCCCGGATGCTGGCGCACTCCCTGCTGCTCCCCCAGCTGTGTCAGCCCTCAGTGTCTCAGGACATGGCCACATGTCCGTGGGGGCAAAACCCCTGCCAGTGGAGGACCACCACGCTGGGCCCTGCTCTGCTACCTGAGTGAGTTCGGCACTGTCGTGATGTCAGTTGGGGTGGTGTCTGCCTACCACTCGGGCCCAGGTTCTGGCTGTCAGGGTGTGTGGGATGCTCTTCTCGGTTGGCCCGGTGGGTAAGTTTCACACTGGGAGCTTGGTATCCCTGATGGGAAACTACCAGACTGTGTGTAGTTTTTATTTATCAGTATTTGCCATATTGGAAATTAAAACTGAGAAATACTTAAAACATTCAGTGATTCATTTAAAAGGACAATAGTGAACTATCATATGTTAACAAAAATAATATTTTTATGAAAAGTAAAATTTTCAAATCAAAAAAAGTGTTCAGTGAGAGAGGTAACATTGCTTTAAAATTTTGCAAGTCTCGGAGAGGAGGGTATAGCTCAAGTGGTAGAGCACATGCTTAGCATGCACGAGGTCCTGGGTTCAATCCCCAGTGCCTCCATCACAAAACTAAATAAATAAACCTAATTACCTCCCCCCTGCAAAAAAAAAAAATCCTTAAATTTTGCAAATCTCTTGAACCTCTGGCTTGGTAGAAAGGTGTATTCTTACATATGCTTCTGCGTTCAGTCTGTTGCCATAGATTATTTAGGTTGAAGTTTATGAAGAAAATCTGGCCTCACACAGATAGATATGTAGTCAGAAAAAGGAGGGCCGCAGATCGAATCCTTCTGGAAGGGTCTCAGGGACCCCAGGGTCCTCAGAACAAACTGAGAAGAGGTGGCCCGGAGATCAGTCATCCAGAAATACCGAGGTTCACTTTTGTTCTTTTCCGAAGTGGGGTCCTGAGATTAATATTTCAATCTAATCTAATCTAATCTATCTGATATGATAACATGAGATTGAAATACTCACATTCTTTACCCCTAAACCCGAAATTCTGCACACTGAACAGAAGGTGGAGACTTCACAGAGCTCGTTAGTTGAGACCTGAGGTGGGCAGTGAGGAGAGCGCGCTCTACGGGAGCCCAGCTCGGTGTCATTTTAGTTGTAAAGCAGCGTATGTGAACAGTTCTAGACAGTGAGTGAATTATTTATAAATTTTTTTTGCTATTTATTGACACATACAAAAACTGACCAGCCTCTCTTCCTCCCCTGTTCTGTCCCAGTGAGCGGTGTTGCTGTGCTTTGCAGACACCAAAATTAGCAGTTCTTTAAAAATGGCGACTGCATCCGTTTTGTCACTGAGCCACCTCAGTTTTCCTCGCTCACTAAGTTGAAGTGGCCTGCTTTTCCATCCGGCAAAGAATGGCAGGGAAGCCGTTTTTAAGTTGTGTGCTCTGGTTTGACTCTATTTTCTCTTCACAGGAAACGACTTGCAGCTGAGTGAGTCTGGCAGTGACAGTGAAGACTAGAGCCGGGTCTTTCCAAGCCAGCTGTCCAGGGCACCTGCCGCCGTGAGCACGGGCACTTCGGCGCGAGCCCGCTGCCAAGGGGAGGACGCGGTGGGTCGGGGACTGTGGGAGGAGGGAGGCTCTCGGGCCTCGGATATCCATGTCTTTAACTTAGTGGTAATGGGTGATTTTCTCGTGTAATTTTTGAACAATTTCACGTTTCAGAGTTTCAGTAGATCTGTAGAAGAACTAACAGAATCTTTTCTTATTTGGTTAACACTGTTAATGAAGAACAGACAGGCATGCCCTGGTCTAGGTGCTCAAAGGCGTCTCTTCACCTGGCCAGTGATTTCAATTTTAACCCTCAGCAGCCACCAGCTTGGCCAGATGGTTTGCACCAGTGAAAGAAAAGGCAGTCTCAGGGCGGGAGAGGGGGCCCTCCCCCTGCAGCACAGAAGTGTGTCTAAGCCACTTTAACTTGTTGCCCTGAAGTGGTAAGGAAGCTGTCTGACCACCCCCGAGTCAGCCTGGGGTCCCTGCAGCACTGTCGGTCAGGCCCTTGTCTGCAAGCGAGGGGAAGCATACGGCTGGTTCACGGCCAGCCTGGCCCCCATCCGGGCCTTGCCCACTGCTCCCTGCCCTGAGTCTCACTTACTAGAACAGAGAGTCTTATACTTGGGAATCAGAGTTGTGTGCTGGAACTTGCACTGGCTTCCAGAAGACAGAATTGTTGGCTACTTATAGCTCCATTTGAGATCCAAACAGCCCCTAAATACACAAGGCGGGGGGAGCAGATTAAAGCAGTGGCCGCCACGCTGAGGCTCGGCGTTCCACACGGACCATACTGGTGTCCTTCCAAGGGGTGGTGGCGGCGGGGGAAGGAACCTTTCTGAGCACAGGACCCAGCGGCCGGTTTCCACACCAGGGTCTGGATAGGCGTTAGCGGGGAACAAGCAGCAGTGTGTGGTGAGGTCTTTCTGTTCGTGCTTCTGAAGCACTTTGCGCGCCTGGCTCCCAGACCGCGCCTGGCAGAAAGTCACAGGTTGCCTCCGGAGTTGCAGTTTCCAGGCGAATCCGCTGCTGCAGGAAACCGGCCACTAGTCACATTCCGTGTTCAGTGGACGTGTGCTAAACTGGCCCGCAGTTCCCGGGGAGTAGCCCGTTCCAGCATTTGAGTGAACATGTTCTGAGAAACTCCGTCTGCTTTGGCTCAGTGGGCATCAGGAACATTAAGAGCAATTCTCCCTGGGGATGGCCTTTCCCTTCCCAGCCCCAGAGGGGAGCGGTCTGGACCCAGAAAGGCAGAGGGACAGGCTGGTGCCCTGTGGTGGGGTCTGAGCCCGGACGCGGCTTCAGCGGGCTTCATGGTGGGGAGAGCTGACTTAGAGTGAACGGATACTTGCTTTTTAATTCCTCGGTAGCGGCAGCTCAGGGAAGGTCAGGTCCTGGTTGGGAGACTTGTTGCAGGACGTGGGGGTGGTTTCCCTGCCCTCTGCATGCTCAGGCTGGGGCAGGTTCCAGGAACTTGAACTAAAAAGTAGTCTACCTAAGCCTCCCTCTTGTAGTTTTGCCCAAAGTCCTGATTTATATGGACAGACTGTGGTTTGGGGCAAGTCGGGTCAAGGTGTTTATTTCATAGGAAGTGCTCGTAGGTGGCCGTGGGCTGGGTGAGCCGGTGCGCTGAGCTGGGACCCTCCCCCCGTCACTCCCGGCGCAGCCCTGCCGGTGTATCATCTGCGATCACAGCTCCAGGCTTGTTCTCTGCTCAGGCTTTCGGGGTTCCCTCTCCTCCCCCTCCAGCTTTACCTGACAGAGTGAGGAATCTTTTCTCTTTGGAAACCCAGAATTTGGCCCCACAGACTGCTTCTCACGAGAGCCCTCCCGCCAGCTGAGCTGGACTTGCTCTCTCTGGGTCTGTGCCTTCTCAGCCCCGTACCGCCACCCCGGCCCCTCTCCCAGGGCTCTGTGGCTGCCCTGTTCCTGGGCTCTTCCTCTGGGTTTCAGCCAACTGGAGTTCCATCTGCACACACGGCCCTTCCTCTCGCTTGGGCTCTGGTTAGCAGGAACGCCTTCTAAGCAGGAGCCGCCATTCTCCCCTCCTTCCCTGGAGTGTACACGGGACACTCGGTGCTCACAGCCTGCAGGGAGGGGCAGGGGAGCAGCCTGTGGAGCGCAGGGGCACGCGGAGGGCCAACATTCCCAACACTTGGAGACAGCCGAAAACTACCCGTGCTGATTTCCACGGGTTTGAAGTCTCAAGCTAAATAGTTTAAATTGCCTTTTCTTTGTTCTGTGTGACATCTGCCATGTCGTGGGCCACTCAGCAACTCCCAAGTATCTCAGGAGCCATGGCAACTTGCCGCAGTCAAGACGCAGTCTGGGGAAACTTAAACAGACTAGAGCTTTGTCCGGGTGCCACTCATCAACCATTTACCATTTTATTTCTGCAGCAGAATCATTTTTCCTATGTGTGGTATTAATAGGGATGTGCTTCAGTGGCGGGAAAACTTGAAAATTCCAAAATCCTTACTTTTCTATCTGAAAGGCTGGTTAAGTAGGGGGTGTGTGTGTGTGTGTGCGAGTGCGCGAGATGTATTTGTGACATAATTTGGAAAGGGTAAGCGTCTGTTCTGTGGACATCTGTCAGGTACGGCCAAGTTGAATGTTCCATTTGGCAAGGAAGGTGGGATTCCCTACCTTGTCCACCACTTGGTGGACAAGACCAAGTGAAGTGTCATGAAATGTGTCTTGTTCCAGCTCTTACCACTTCCATCTTGGGTTCATGTCTCATTCGTTAATCGTTATTAATATCTTGTTCCTGAAAGTTTATTTTGCTTAATTATGAAGTAGACGTGCATGTTTTTATTTATGTAAAGTATTTGCTATGTAAAGTTTTTTTGGTTTACTCTCTTCAAAGATCACTATACTTAAGTAAACAGTGAAGGTCAGCCCTACGCTTCATGTCTTGTGGGTTTTATTTTCTTACTAGAAACCTATCCATGCTGGCTGCACTCACGTGTCTGGCCCTGCTGTGCGATGGCTGGACACAGGCTCGTGGGGCCACACGTGGCCTCCCTGTCTTCTCACAAGGTGGCTGCCTTCCCTAGAACGAGTGTCCTGAGGAGCCATGTGGCCTCTTAGGACCCAGCCCTGGAGGGTGCGGCATCGCCTCCCAGTGTTCTAATGGTCAGAGTGATCAAAAGCTCACCTAGATTCAAGGGGAAGGGACGTAGACCCCACCTCTGAATGAAAGTGTATGAAAAGCCACCCACACCTGTCCCCACCTCTGCCCTGTGTCTCCGGCCTCATTGCTTTTGGGTGAGCCCTCTCCCCACAGTGGGCTCTTTGGTCCCTGGTCTGCAGCACCAGCATCCCTGGGACCCTGCAAGAAACCCAGATTTTCAGGCCTCACCCCAGACCTGCTGAGTCAGAGTAACAAGCTCTCCAGGTCGTTCTGATGAACCCAACAGCTTGGGAACCACTCCCTCCCCTGGGACACAGCTCCCCAGGTGAGCCCCACGACCGCCACGACTGTTGTCACCTTCCCATCCCAGGGCACCCAGGGGAGTGGGGCTGGCCATGGGGTGGAACACCCCAGAACATTCATCGCTGCCCTTGAGGAAGTCCCGGGGGATACCCTCATTGTGATGTGTGCACCTCCTTTCTCTGAAGGGAGCAGTGGGGTGGGGGTGGGGGACAAGGGAAACGGCCAGTTTCTTTCCTTGGTAAGGTTGTTTCCTGGAGACTAGTCTGACTCTAAAATCTGTCAGCTGCCTGGGGCTGAACGGAACTCGGGTGGCCCCTCCCCACCAGAGAGAAAGCCCTCGGGCAAAGGCAGTGTGAGCTCCCATCCTCTTCCTCGAGGTGGGGCTTGGGTGAGGTGGGGAGTCCTTCACCCACTCCTCTCGTAGGAGCCACACCCCCCAGAATGGTTACCATGAAGATGGGGGAGACAGCCCCGCACCTCTAGACCCTCTGCGCCCACAGTGGTAACTGGGCTGGCCAGGGCAGCAGTCTCCTTGGTGAGCTGCCAGGGTCCTCCAGCTGAGAGCTCACTGTGACCACACAGATGGCAGACGGGCGCTTCGTTGAAAATTTAACTGGTTCCCTCCACTCCGGGGGGGCGACAACCCAGTAAAACAGTAAAACTAGAGTGTAGGTTGGCCCATTTATATAATGAGATTTAGAGATTCTTAAGCAGTTTGACCCACACATGCCCTCCACGCACATCTAGTGATGGGTAACCGACGTGTCTGTCCCAGGAAACCCCAGCCTGCGTGTCCAAGCTCCATCTCTGGCCCTTGCAAGCCACTTGTCCTGGCCACCCCTCGTGCTCACAGCTATGTGTGAGTCACGCAGGAGGAAAGACGGGGGAGAGGGCTGTGCAGGCCCAGGAAGCAGGAACCCTAGGGTGGGGAATTAGGGCTTCCCAGTACCTGGAGCATGGAGTGTACAAATGTCACCTTGGCCCCAGAGACCTCCTCCTCCTGGCCTGGTCACAGCCAGAGGGAGCCCAGAGCAGTGCCCTCCTGGCCAAGTCTCAGGGCTGTTTTGGAGCTCCATTCTGTCCTCAGCCAGATCCTAACACGAAGCTGGGGGCAGGGCTGGGTTTGCAAGACTGGGCTTTGTGACCTCGGGCAAGTCCCTCCACATCCCCGGACCTCAGTTTCCTCCCTCGTGTTTCTAGTATTATCAATAGCCCTCAGAGTAAGCTCTGAGGGAGCAGGACTGCTCCCACATTCCAGAACCTTCTGCAGAGTCTGTGAAGCAGACTTGAATTCAGACCTCTCATTCCAGCCAGCAGTTCTAGGACACCAGCCCCACACCCCTAGGGAAGAGAGAGCCACCATAGGGAAGCACACGGCCTTTATTTACTGATTTCCCATCTGGAGGTCCCAGTATGAAGGCGGTGGCTTCACATGGGACGACGTGGGCCATGTAACATCACCCCAGGAATTGCGGTAGAGCCTGAGGGAACCAGGCTGACCAGTGGTCCCTCTGGACACCACCCCTGGGCTGATCCTGCCCACGACAAACCACCGTCACTACGCCGACGGCCTGAGACTTAGGCACAGTAAACAGCCTTGTACATGAGCCCAGGAGTGTCCCTCCACCTGGTGACCAGCAGGCACGTCCCATTTGAGGTCTGCTGTGGGAAAGATGTCTTTCCCAAACAAAGCTAAGCCCCACTCAGGAAAGATGGAGGTGAAAGGCGGTTCATGGACATGCAGGACTCACGATCCTGTAGACACGGGGGCTCTGGCACACGGGCACGCACCACGGAGACACAGGAGGCGGTCCCAGGGCGACAGGAGTTGGCAGGCAGCCGGGACTGGCGCTCAGGACAGACACGACAATGCCCAGAGCTCATACCTCGTGCTCAGTCATGGGGCCAGGTGGGAAACCAGGCGGCACTTTCCCAAGGACCCACCAACGGCCTGCCTGCCAGTGAATCTCCTGACCGAGAGAGGGGCAGAGGGCCGCTTATGAGACAGAGGCCCAAGTGCACAGAGCTGCGAGGTCAGGACGGTGCCGGGGATGGGGAGGCCACTGCCCTGCTTCTTTCGCACGGCAAGCACCCCCCGGGGCAAAGCGCGGGCTGGGCGGCATCCTCAGTCCTTTTTCACAGTTGGGGGCTCTTCCTGGGAGGGCCGCATCCACAGGAGGCCTTGCTGGGCTGTGGCCAGTTGGGGGGGGTCCCTGGGCAGGCCCAGAGCTGGGGGCCACCCCACGAATGGGCCCATGTCCCTGCTCTGTGGTCCCCAGGGCCGGGTGAGAATGCTCACAGTCCCAGAGGTCAGAGGAGGGGAGAGGCCCGCCCCCGAGATGCCCCAAGATGAGAGCAAACTCCAACAGTCGTGTGTGTCTAACAGTGCGAAGCCAAGTCCACAGCATCGGGAGGAAAGGGCCCTGCAGGCCTGCTGTCGGGCCGGAGGGTGCGACGGGGAGCAGTTCCCAGGCTGGGCACGTGGAGGAGTCCTGGGACTTGGGGTTAGCACAGGATGCAAGGGTCCTAAGTTCCTCCAGTCGGACTGAGTTAAAAGCACGTCTTAGCAGCAAGAGTTTGTCCTTGTTTCTGTCGCTCAAAGGTGGTGGAAACTGGACCAGGACAGGCGAGGTCAGTCTGCCAAGGGTGGAGGGGCTGCTGCCAGCTCCGTGGTAGGGCTGCCTCCTCCAGGTGGCCCTCAGGTGAAGTAGCGACAGGGCGTGGAGTCGATATAGCAGTACGGGGTGCACCGCAGGTCTCCATACGACCTGAGGGAGGCAGACACGGGCCGTGGGCGGGAGCCTGGGGACACAGCCACATTCTAAAAGGCCACCTCTCATGACCTTGGTCAAACCTCACCAACCAGCTGCCCCTGCTGCCACCTCACTGAGGCCAAGGGCTCCTCAGAGACTGTTCTCACTCTCACGTGGGGTGTGGGGCTTGGGGCGGCCGAGTCCAGCCGAGGGACCTGGGGACACTGGGTTGGCAGGCAACTGTGCTCTGAACACAGCATCTCTAAGGGAATCGCCCACTTCTCCAGGCCCAAGAGGTTCCCAGCACAGTCCATCGGACACCCTGCACTACCTCTGTGCCGTCCAGCATGGCAGCCGCTGGCCATATGTGGCTATGGAGCTCCTGAAATAAGGTTAGTGCGACTGAAGAACTGGGTTTTTAATTTTTTGAAATTTAAATAGCGACATGTGACCGGGGGCTACCATATTGGACAGCGCAGCCCACACCTCTGTGAGCCCGGGTGCTAATTCCGAGCCAGTGTGTAATGCACTGCACCCGCGTCCCCATTCACCCTGAGGCTCCCAGGGACTCGGAGAGTCACCACACCAAGACAGCGGTGAGCCCTGCGCTGCACTGGCCTATACTCCATGTCTGATTGTCCACGTTCAGATGTCTTCATGGGGCACCAGCCTGCTCAGAGCTTCCGCCAGCTCTCTGGCAGGTGTCTGTTAGGAGCCTCTGGCTTTGGCGAGGGGGAGGACACGCAGCTGCAAAGGGTCCTGGCCCAGCCTAAACCGAGTTTGCGGGTGACCACATTTCGATTCTTTGAAGTGCCCAGATACCTCCATCCTCCACTGGGCTCCCCTCTGAGGCGCACTGCCCAGGGACCCTATGATCCCGGGAGCCACTGGGGATGGAGCTGCTCGCCTAGGGCCATGGTGAGCACAGTGCTGCTGATGCCCAGGGCCCAGGGCCCAGGCCGGAGCTGGGGGCCTGCAGGGTCATGTGTTTATCGCCTCTCCGACCCCACATGAGCAGGGACCATGAGCTCTGTTACGTATCACCCTCTCTCAGTGTCTAGAAAGTACATAAGGGGCCCCCAGGGATATTTGTCAAACGAAGAGGATGCAGGATGGAAGTGGTCCCTACCCGGGGAGATAGGTCTCACAGGTCAGGTGGCCGAAGTCAGAGCCGTCACAGTCCTCCACGCCCCTGTGCCGGTGGCCGTCTCCACAGTAGGCCCGGCGACAGCCTGAGGGGACACAGAAGGGCCACCCTGAGGGGGGGCAGGGGGGACAGCCTGGCAGGACCTTGTGGCCCAAAGGATCCCCCCAGAGCCTGCACCCGGGTGGACCAACCTCCACAAAACTTCAGGCCCTGATCCCTGGAAGGAGACCAACCCCCTGCCCAGTCCTGCCACTTGCTGGCCAAGAGACTGAGAGCACTGGCCCCCGAGCCCCAGTGTCCTGTCCCAAGCCTGGGGCCTGGACGCTGCCTCCCATCGCAGGACCACTGCAGGTTCCTGCGAGTCAAGCGTCAGGAGACAGGGGCCGGGCACCAGGTAGCCTTGACCGCTGGTGTTTGTCTGCAGGAAGCCTCCAGATGGCGACTCTGGGTCCCCCGAGAGCCAGCCCATCTTCCACGGGGTCCAGTTCTTACACCAGGGGAGGGGCCTGGAGTTCAAACCCTGCCCGGCTTTCACAGCGCTTCAGACCCCACGAGTCCCTTCATGCACCAGGGCCAGAGGAACCCCAGACAGAGCCAGCATGCTTGGAACCGCCACCCTGGGGACTGTCATGGGAGGTGCAGCTACATGGGAGGACAGACTGCCTCCCGCTCCGCACCCACCCTGGGCACGCTCACCCTCCCCTGAGCTCCTTGCCTTCGCACCCGCACGTTTCGGGCCTGAGTGCAGCCTGGCCCCTCTCAGCAGAGGCTTCACCATAACTCAGTGAGGGCGCTCTGAGCCCTTACTCCCCCAAGACCATCCACGCGCATGTCAGCTTAAGGAACTGCCCAGGATCTAAGGGCTTGGCTGTCGGAGCGTCACACCCATCTTTCTGTCAGTGGGGGAAGCAAGGCCTCCACCACCTTATCCACCACAGCCTCTGCTCTGGGCATGAAGCTGAGCTGGTGGCTTTGAGACCTGCAGCCACACTCTGCCTGACCCCTCACCTCCTGCTCCTGTCACTTGATTAAAAAGAAAAAGGGGAAAGAGGCAGCCCTCCAGCACTACACTGCCTGCCCGAGCCTGTGGCATCCGGAGCCTGAGGGGGCTCCGGCCACCCACTCCCCCCGCAGGGCTGTCCGCTGAGAGCGGGTCCTCCTGCAGGTGCCTGGCTCCTCCCATTTGCCCTCAGTCCTGCAGCGCTTTTCTCTTTTGCTAAAGAACGTGGATCGGGACGTGGGTTTTGCAAGATTCAGAGAAGGGGGGGGGCCTGGTGGTTTCTCTGGGTCCAAGATCCTTGACACCGACCCCGTCGCCATGCGTGCATGGCAGGTCCACATTTGGCCAGAGTGGGGAGGGCGGTGCCCCGGCAGCCCAGCTGTGGCTCTGGAACTGCCCCAAAGCAGCGCAGCGGGCGTCCCGGCCTGGCCCCACTCACGGATGCAGTCGTCACCCGCGTCCGCGTTGCCGTCGTCGCACTCCTCTCCGGGCTGCAGGACCCCGTCCCCACAGAAGCCGCGGGGGTCCGCGGCGTAGTCCACCGGGTAGAGAGGCGTCAGCTGGCCAGAGAAACAGAACAGTTGCCAGGGAGGGCGCGCCACGCAGCGCAGGCGCAGGGGCAAAGGCGCAGAGGCGCTGGATGCGGG